TGATTAAGACCTTTCGGACTTCTATATAAATAAATAGTTGAAAATGTAATAAAATAATATGCAGTGGGCACGAATTTAATTTCTCATAAATGTAAATATTTTTAAAATAACCTTAAAATTGTTTGTCATGAAATAACTATACAAGATATGAACAAATTACAAAGCGAAGCTGTAGTTATATAATGCGTATGAACACTTAATAAATATATACTGTTATATTTTCAAAATGGAAGCTTATCGTCCGTGAAATCTTGAAGAGTTTAGGGAAGGGATTAATTTCACTTACGTTGTTCTCGGACAGCGGTTTGCTGTATGTCATATCACTGTCAGGGACACTGCGACGAGTTACTACGTCGTTCGTGCCAAATTCATCATTCCTTTTCGAAACGTTTAATAATCTTTCAATCGGTTCTATATTATCATTTATCACATGATTGTCATCGTTTTCACAGCCGATTTCTAATAAGTTGGTGCCGTCGTGTGGAGGGGGAACAAGTTTCGTCTTAACGATTTCAATATTTTTTCCACCCTTTGGAAAAGTACCTATCCATAAACATTTTTTGAATGACATGCTTTTAGTTCTACATCACCGTCTGAAAAAATCTCTCAACTGGACCATTTGCAAGCCATTCACGTATTTTCAAACGTTCGAAGAGTTTTATACGTCGACACGATGACGCCACGGGTGCAGTCGGTGTGTGGGAGCGCGATTTTTCTTATTATCTTTCGCGTCGATGGTCTGAATAAAATTACTATATACATTGTGATTTTTAGCATGCTCACCTTATTTGGCTTATAATTTACGAAAACCCTTGTTTGGATTATAATTTAGGAAAAACGTATGTATACTACAATATTTTCTAATACATAGATTCTCTTAACTCTTAAGGAATATTATGTAGATATATCAAATTTTGTTTTTTAAACGGAATCATAATTTGTTTACTTCACAATTTACATACAAATTTTTAAATTTGAATAATTTCGAAATTACTGATCCAAAGTTACATCAAAAATTCCAAAAAAATTTAACTAGATAATTACTTGCGTAAAAAAATGGTTTTCGCATTAAAAAAAAAAAAGTTGATATTGTCACAGGATACTATAAGATGTAAAAAAATTAAATCATATTTTGAGTAAATGGGTAAGCCTGTTTAAAAAGTTGTACTAAATACAGTACGTTTAACTATTGGACTTAATAAATCTACGATTACAGCTATAAATACTATTTCATTACACAATATAATATTATACAATATTTAATGATTTATCTTTAATAAACAGATACTGATGAATATTGTATAGCGTATTTTGTATATAAATACAATAACTTCATTATAATATAAAGTTTAAATATCAAGAAAAGTTAAATAATTTTTATAAATCAGTATCTTAATAATATTTCTTGATTATCTACTTACTTAACATTGTAAAAATTATGATTTACAACATTCATAGACTCGGTCAATATGTTAAAAGAAATGAGAATTCGATTAAATAAATTATGAGAAAACTATTTTTCTTTTTTATAATATTGATTTTCATTAAAATTATTATAACTAATTGTTTCATAGATTTTTTTTTTTTTAATTATTAAAACAAAGTTAATTTTGTTTAGTTATGATTAAAATAAAAATTTATTTTTACTCATTTTCTGGTTTATATTTTTCTAGAATATTAATGAATTTTCTTTTTTATTGCTTTTCTCTATTTCGTGTTCACTCACGTTTTATACTATTACGAATGCATGAGTATGTATATTCATTATAGCTACGAAAATAATTCGTTTTTCATATTGAAATACGGTCATCTTATTAGCATCATAGTTAAAACCGGGTAGGATGTTGCATGTGTATTGCATTTCATTACATCCATCAAATGGTTGTGATAGTGTATTTTTTTTAAGTGTATCATCTATAATTAAATTTTGTATCATACTAAAATGTAATATAAATATTGTCTATTAACAAGATGCAATGATACTAAAATTACATCTTTACAACTCCATTGAAATACATTGGTATCACTATTGTATTTATGAGTATATGGTGAAATAAGGTATTTTTGTGGCATAAGCAATTTCGTGATATTATATGTTGAACGTAAAACGTAATTTTCAAGTCAATTGTGTAATAGGGAATTACCAGTCTTGTAAAAAATACTTTTGAAAAAGTATTAAAATACTAATACTAGTATTCGAATAAAATAGTATTAAAAATACTTATAAAATACTATTATAAAAATGTATTTCACGAATACTCACTAAGTATTTGAGTACAAATACAAGTATTTTTTTTAATTTTATATTATAAAATATTATAGTTAACCCCCCCCCCCCCCAATAGAAAAAAATTGTGTCTATGCCACTGATTATATATCAGTTTAGGTACCTATATTATGATACTAATTACTATAGATTTAACAATTTGAAAAATACAAAACATGTCTGACTATTTAGAGGTCATGTTCACATATTTCATTCACATATTATATATATCTACTAGTATTAATACAATTAAATGACAAAAAAAATAAATAAAAAATGGTATTAACTATTAATATAGAACTATTTGAAAAAATTTAAAAAATTACAATAATAAACCCATATAAAATTGGATGTAGCATTTTTTAAATTTTTAACATTGTTTTATACTACTTTTTCTATTATACAATTTTTTTGTGTTTATAAATTAAATCTCATTAATATAATGCTTTCTTTTTATATAATTATATTATAATATAACCTTGATAATGAGATAAAAATGTATGAAATTCATGAAATTACATTTTTAGAGTTAAAACTTAAAGATTAAGGTGATAATATTATTTTAAATTTATACAGGTATGGTTAAAAATAAATTACTTTTTAGAAAATAAATATTACCAATTGTAATTACAATATAAATAATAACCATTGCATATTTTAATAAATGATTTACATTATTATTTATTGATATTTGTCACAACCTATAACAATTAATACTTATTAATATAAAATTAAGCAAAATAATATTTAAAAAAAAATCTATGATAACGTTAAAACGGTTTGAAATTTAACAGTTTTAAAATTAGTAATATTATAGTAATAACTTATTATTTTATTACTTATTAGATTCATCAATAATAACCGAATATTATTCTTAGAAGTAGGAACAATTATTAGGATAGAGAATTATTATGATTATACAATTATTAAAACGAACTTTGTGGTATTTAAATACAAGTATTTACAAATTGTTAAAAATACTTTTGAAAAGTATTCAAAATACTTAAAAAATACTTTAAAAAAATTGTATTTAGAATACCAAAAAATATTTCAAAAATTATTTTAATAAATGTATTCAAATACTTGTATTCGAATACTTTACAAGACTGGGAATTACATTATACGTTCAACAAATAATGTTACGAAATTACCTATACCAAGAAAATATCTTACTTCACACTAATTATACGAAACCAAACAATTGCGTACTCATAAAAACAAAATTCTTTATTCATATCAACTAACCACTACCACTAAAAAAAATCCACGTAATAAACGTTTAATGATTAATAGTAATTAAACTATACATTTATTAAGAATATAACTTATAAAACACATGATGGTGATGATATGTGTTACACATGATTGATCATTTACCGCTACCATTAATCCTATACAACACGATGCCATATTAAGTTTCATGTATGCCTCTTTATAATTATATTATATTATATTATATCCGCTTACTGTTTGAAATTATAAGTTTCGATGCATGTTATGTATGATTTTATTTATTTTGCTTTTATCCCAAACGACACATGTTGTATATATTAAATATTTTAATTCCTTGAGCCTATACAAAACAATAACCTTCCTTTATAAACATTTTTATATCTTATGGAAATATATAGGTACGTTTTATGAAAGATATAGTTTTATTATTTTATTTTTTAACAACGTTTACGTATAACAATAATACGTTTATATTATATGACAGTCTTGGATCAAATCTAAATTACAAAATTCTTTCAAACAGTCTACATACACTTTACAGCATTTTTATTATAATATATTAATTTTAATAGACTATTTTCAAATGCTTAAACGTAAGCTGTTAAGATAAATGAAAATAAAATTGTAAATAACGTTCCTTGAACGAAAACTATTAAGTTTATTGTTGATTACATTTTTTAACAGGACTATAATATGTATTTGTTACATGAATATTATACCACGCCATGCAGTACACTAACAAATGTAAACACTATACGTTAATACATTAGTGGAAGTTGAAGATATCATCACGTGTACTTGTGTACTTTCATACCGTCTTATAGGATTAAAGTCAAACGTCCACGATCGAGCATGTGAAATACATTAATATCGCTTCCTGGATTAAAAATATATGTTCTTTGATTTAATTCGATGTCCATATTAATATCGTAAAAAATGTAATCAACTTAATTCCCTTTTACCGTAGATGTGTATTATAATGAATGACTTAATGGAAAATATGTCTACAGTTTGCATTCATGAAACATTTAACCTGATTTCCACCGAAATGAAATGCATTTCAAAAACAATGATATAAAAAATTGTTATATTTTTCGTTTTGATGCACAATCATGAACATTAAATTTAATTGTAACTATATACACACAATGTTATGTGAATTATTGTGAAAAAATAAAATAGCATAATACAAGCATAAATGTAAACTAGTAAATTTGCAAAAATACACGTTGATCGTGAACTGTACAAGTGATAAAAGTGTTATACATTCAACGTATTTAACTTTTACCAATTTTTATCATTACATATTTGTAAAACATCCAACAAATCAAATCGACTTCACACAGGACTCAAAATAGTATTCCTTTTAACTCAACAGGTGTCCAGTAAAAAAATATTCACTCAACCACGTCAAACCATGCCTCCATGCCCATAACATTACTCCTATAACCTCTAATCGATGTACACGTACGGCTAATTATGATAATTATAATATACATACGTCTTCGGTGTCCATGATGTTGCAACATTGACCCACGGACGTGATGCGCTGGTGAGGATTGATCATTACAGTGTCCGCGGGTGACGGCACCGCCCAAGACTCGCAGTACCCTCTGCATGCGTTGGTCGTGATACGGAATTCCACGCAGTTGGGTATGCTGATCTTTCTCGTGTGACCTGAACACAAATATCACATACGTCAGGCCGATAGTTGATGCAATTTATAGGTAGTGAACGAAGAACTTTAATTCAGTTAAGGATTTGTATTATAATATGGATTAACACTAAAATCAACCAAAAAAATCATCAAAACTAAAACATTTTTGGAGCGAAAGACATTTCGGATGAGGTTTTAGAATCCTAGAGTGTTTAATAATTTTAACACCACTGAAATTTATATCAACTAAATTATGTGCACCGTATTCAGTTGAATGTATTTAAAATACAACGGTGATAATGGTGGAACACCAAGTGGCTCCTGCAGACGGTTCAAACAGTATACGGATTTGTCCGTGAATACCGGCCAGCGAGGTGCCCGGTTAGAGCTTTAACACAGTGCATTGGTGAGATCTAAACACAAAATAATAAAACACGATTTATAAGACTAAATTGAAATACTATGCGAAACAAACGGAATCTTTTATCAGGCAAACGCTTAAGTCCACCCACATGATTTCTCGAGAATCGTATATATTATACAAGAGGGCTCACTGTGATATATTGATAGAATTATAATTACTGGATACGGAATCATTTTCCTATAAACTTTTATTTGGTACAATCATTAAATTTATTAGCATTTGTAAGAACAAAATTGATTTTAAGTCTCCGATTGCCATCCATCCAGGAATTAGAGTTACCTCAATACGATTTCAGACTCAATATTGAATTACATCTAAATTTATTATTGGATAAGCGATGACATTAGAATAAGCACTGATTATCAATTATATTATGGTAAACACTAAACTATATGTTTGCCTATTTATGTATTAGTATTGTGGGATTTAAGTAATAAAAATCACTCAAAATTTAATTAAAATAGACATTATATTATATAAATATGTATGTACAAATATCGATACGCGTTACCATTGCGGAGGTATTACCGAATATATCGCGGAGTGTAATTCACGGTGTGTCGCGGATTGTACTCACGGACTGATTGAATGAGCGTCTAACCAGCCGGTATATATATATCGGCGTCGATTGTCTAGTACATTCTCGAAATTACCTTAACGAGATAATCATCGCATATTCTAGAACATGGGATTTCTCCTTATCCACTGACAATATTGTAAACAACTTGGACGATTCGCGATGCGTTGTTTACGTTACCACAGTATTGTTAAAGATATCACCTATTTATTAGAATAGTTGTCATTTATTGAAAAAAGGAAAGAATTTCCATATGAAAACAAAATCGCATACATATTAAAAACTATAAGTGTTTAGTATTATTTGCTAAGCCCCGGTATTCCTAAACCATAGTTGTTTATAATATATTAACATACTATCTATACATAGACTTACCCAATTCGTGATTTTTCAATTTATAAATGTATAATATATATATACAGAGCAATTATGTATGCTATAAACGATACTATAATAAGAAAAATACAATCAATCTCTCGATTTTTACTCATTTTTTTTTCTAATTTTTTTTTTTCAGAATGAAAAAAAACCACTATTCCAATCCCTTTAAAATAAATTGATATCCCCATAATATGAAGCGAGACTAGCTTTGGTGGTTACGGGAAACAAAAATTTGAGAAATAAGATTTCACTTATTAAAGAAATTCTATCACGCTCAAAATCTTAATTATGTGGTACATGTACTCACCTACTTTGTGGCAACCGGGCTTACGCCAAGTGTCTGAACCCGTTGCCGAAAAAGACAGCATGGCCAGAAGAAATATTATCGTAGCACTTGTCCTCCACCGACACTTGTCCATTTCACCGCGGACTAGGTCTGAAAAAAAATGTGTAAATAAGTATACCATCGAATATTTTCAATTTTTTTGAATCTCAAAATATGGATGTATTTTACTAGAATAAAATGCTAAAGATAATATCTTGAATACGTGAAATCCATTTATTTTTTATAATAAACTAGTTATGTCATGCCCACTTCGCTGAGCATCAAACATTTTATGTGATTTTTAGTACTAATTTTAGTTAGGATTTATGTTTACTTTATTTCTTGTCATTGTCTATTCACAAAATGTACCAGTTTTCTATAGTTCCAAATCGAAAAAAGCCAACATATAATTGCCCATGAAAAAAACACTTCTTTTATCAGTAATATTTTGCAAATACACATGTTGGTAGGGCTAAAGTTTCTTAACAACACGATAGGAATTACGACTTTTAACATAAGTTCGTTAGGTAGTAGGCCAAAAGGCAGGGACGTAATTTCAACATTTTTAAAGATATACTAACAATCAGGTAAATCAAAATAATATTTAGCAGACCAATTTTTACATATATATATTGTACAATAGAATTCTTAAAAAGAAAAAAAATAGTTTCATTGTTACGCTCAAAAAATCGTTATTTACATCTGATGATCTAATAAGTGTAAATATTGCCTCTTATTTATGTTTTTTCAATTTCAAACCATAAAATAATACTAGATTACATATAATTATGTATATTTAAGGGAACTTATGTTAAAGCGATTGAACTAATAGAAAATAAATACAACTTACTACAAAATTTCTACCTACAATGAAACCTATTTAACAGGGCTTATTTTAAAACGCAGTTGAACTTATTTTGAGTATTTGGATAAACTATATGTGCAATTCATAATCAGTTTTTGTGTAATTGATTTTCATAATTTATTGCCACATTAATAAGACGAATATTAATAATTGTTTCTATAGATTTTAATATGTTAGGTGTTTTTACAATAAGAAAATTGTTTTATAAAGTAACCATACATTATTAGTGTACAGTATTCGTATTACAAAACTACACTGAATACTGTATACTGATATTTAAAACCGTAGTGTGTGAGCTTTATAACTGATAGAAAACACCGTACACGGTAATGGAATAAAAACGGAGTAGTTATATTTTTGTTCCGTGTTCGATTTTAAGAATTGAGAAACTAAATGGTGTGAACGTATTCGGTGTTCGAACTAAAATGATACAGTTTTACGTGTAACATATACATACTTATATATTTGTAATAATCATACAGCAATGGTGTAAACAGAGGGTCGCAATTGCGACCCCAAAATATCATGTCTACAGTTTTCAAAAAATGAAAAATTATTTAATTAAAATATTTAACACCAATATTATTATAATAAAATAATTTATGTTTGATTTAGATAAATTAGGTAAAGAATTAGATTCAGTAGTTCTATAAATGGAATACATAGATTTAATGAAAAAAAATATAACAGAAGAGATGCAAAAAAAAATAACATTACCAAAATGAGTGCACTATTTATTTGAAACCAACGATTTTAAAAATATAACTATTTTATTTCACAGCGAAACCTCACAACGCTGACGTTGAACGATTAATAAGTAAAAGAAATATTCTTAAATCAATAAATTATCAATGTTTGCATGTAGAAACGAAAAATTAATATTATTATTTTCATTTTAACATAACTGCTCTTCAACCCAATAATACGGATATAGTTAAATCAAAATGAACGCTGCATCAAAGACACACCTAAAGCCATAAGACAAGAATAATTTAATAGAATTTTTATGAATGCAATAAAAATAAAATCTAATGATGAAAAAAATTAAAGTGAAATAAATTTAACAAAATAATGTTCTAAAATGTGTTATGTATTATACATATGAATATAATGAAAAAAGTAAGAAGGACATTAATTAAAATAAGACGTTTTAAACAAGAATGTTTATTATTTTATTTCTTCTTAATAGTGTAAATTTTAAATTATTCCTCCTAAATACTGAAAATGGCATTATTTGTATCTATAATTTGATATTATATTTTAAGATTATTGGTATATTTTGATAGGCTTATTTTAAAAAAAATTCCGTAATTGAAAAAAATCCTTAGATTGGATAATTTATTTTTCGATAGCTAATAATTTATATTACTAGATTACTTGATTTACTAATTTAAATAAATTACTGGTTATATTGATGATGACAATTTTTCTTTGATTTTGTAATATATAACCATATAGGAATATTAAATATTCAATTATTAATGTTAACAAAATATCACATTTAACTATTACATTAATATATTGTTCGTATTTAAGAATTTCACTTTCTTATAATTTCATCAGCTTCCCAATAAAAACTAAAACTAATTTAATGAATATCATATAACCATATTAATTTAAAAAAAAATAATTATAAAAATGTAATATTCAACAAATGGTAAGGAAATTACCAATGTCATTTTGTCATTTTTTATTTTTTGATACGGATATCTTTTTTTTAAAAAAAAATAGCCTACAATAATTATAATTGATTACTGCACGAGTATTATTTAATACTTTATTTATTTAGATATTTTGTGAAAACAATTTTAAATTTTATTTATTTATACGAAGCTTTTTTTCCTAATTAAATGACAGACACATTTGAAACATTATTTATACGGCTTTTAATTATTTTTATTTGCAATGCGAACAGAAAAACCAGACATTCTCTCGATGTTCGTCATTCAAATTTATTTCATAATGTTACTAAATCAACGACCACAGAGTAGTAAATATAATATAATTTATATCGAAATTATTATCCATCAAATTAAGAGAAATTTTGAAAAGTTTAAATTAATTTTATCTCGTGGTGTGATGATTACGTGATAATTTCGAAGACGTTGAGGGCGTACAGTCTAAACAAAACACAGTATACAATAAGACGTGATGAAGTTCAAAACAACATAATGAGATACAAACAATTATTTATATTTTACACAATGATGTAAATGTTATAAAATTAAATATGTTAAACGAAAATAACAGCAATATTGGAGTGAGAAGAGATCCGATAGTAACTTTTGACAAAACGACCGATCCGTTGAGTTTTCCAAATACACAGCGTTCTCGGTCTATATAGAAACTTCACGGAAACGGTAGACAAGTAGACTGAGGGGCGTACCGTAAAATATTTCAACGTCTTATGCAACTGGGCAGCTTGTTATTATTATAAACATCTTATTACCACCGCTTTTGTTCACGTTATCTAAAACATTTTCCGTCAAAAACGTATTATAGAAAATGTATACAACCATGGGTTTTTATGTTTCAACCGAGTACATTCAATTTACTTATCATATAATATTATCAATAATACTAACTCCATTTATGAAAATCTACTCTCTCAGAGTACCGAATTCTTTGTTTCCATTAAGGTAGTATTATAACCGATAAATATAATTCCAATTCATATAATTCAAATAGAATTTAGTAACTTGGAGATGCTTTTGCGTATAAATCTATTTAAATATTCATCATTATATAGTAAAATATATGTTTCATTCCAGTATAAAATTTTTAATAATGGCCATTATGGATCTATATTGAATTTTTATTTTTTTAATCGGTGGGGAAAATTAATAGGAAGCACAGAAAAGGAAATTATAAAGAAAATAAAAGAAAATCTGTGTGAATGTTGAGGAAAATATAAATGAGGTTTGGAATAGAATGACAACTTATGTTAAGAATATAGCAAAAGAGGTTGTTGATATAACCAAGTATAGTATTCCAGAAAACAAAGAAACGTAATGGTGGTATGAAGAAATTCAGAGAGTAGTAGCAAATAAGAAACAGCAATTTAAGTTATGACAGAAATGCAGGAAGAGAGAAGATTGGATAGGGTATAAAAATGTATGTAAAATAGCAAAGAGTGCGATAAGCAAAACGAAGCTTAATAGGTATGATGAATTATATGAGAAAAGGCTAGAAAAACGAGAAAGAGAAAAAGAAATGTATAAATTGGAAAAAGTTAGAAAAAAACGATTCAGGGACTTTCAAAATTATTGGTGTTAAAAAAATGATAATAAGAGGGTGTTAACAAAAGATGGATTAACTACCGTTTGATGTATCGAAAACCAGAAAAGACATAAACTTGTGTTTTATATATTCGAAAACTATAAGTAATTTGGTTTTTTTTAGGTTTTAAAAGTACAGTTGTTAAATTTTTAAATTATTAATTATTCAACAAAACAAACGAATAAATAAAGCGAAGAACGTGAATCTAGAGAAAAGTTTCCGATATCTAAATCGAGTTTGTACTACAGAAATACACAATAAAAATACTCGTTTAGAGAACATGATACATCAGTAATTAAAGGGTGAAAATACATTCTACGTAAAAATCATTCAGTGTAAATTCATAGAAAAATATCCTTTATTTGTTTTATTTTAAAGATAAGAACATTATCCGTTTTTATATTTTCGCTAACAAAATTGGAATCAAAGTTATTTATAAGTATACATTTGAAAAATTTTAAGTATTTTGTTTAGTTGTAAAAAAATTATTGAAATAAGAAATTATAATAAAATAAAAACATAAATAATTTTCTCTTCTTTAAAATAATTAATAAACGGGCCTATCAATGAATTTACACTGTACAGTTTTATCTCGTGCAACATAGTTTTTCTACCTGAAAATCAGGAATAAATTGTTATTTTGTTGATAGATACACGGACATAATAACGATCATTTGTTACACATTAACATATATATGCCCGTACTATAGGTCGTACCATCGTCGAGCTATAGAAACCGATGTACACTTTTAATAATCACGTTTCTCTTAACCGAATCTTCACAACATGCACGTGGTGCAACCCTGCGATAGTCTAATTCACCGCGATGGAAAATTACTATAATACTCAGGACTGGGCAGTATCTTAAATACAAATATTTGATATACGCATCTGAGATAAAATTGTATCTAGTATCTTGTATTTCAGTTTTCGCCTCTATAAATACATATCATGTTTAATACGAGTA